AGACCTTGTTACTATACTATAGCAGAGCGGAGCCCATTCTGGTCTCAGGAGTATGGAAGGATAGAATGGAAGTCTATGTTAATTAAGAAATTTGATTCCACTTGGAATTCAGTCTGAATAAATGAAAGCTCTCCCTGACATGAACATTTCTCTCCTTGTGGATTCATATACAGTGGGCATCATAAGTATTCACCCCCTTGAATTTCTTCACACTTTCTTCACGTGGGATTAAAATGTATTTCATTGTAATTTTTTTGTCAACAATCGACATAAAATACTCTGTAACGTCAAAGTGGAAGAAACATTCTACCATTTATTAAAGATTAATGAAAAATAAAACACTACTATACCTTGATTAGATAAGTATTACCCCCCCCCCCCCAAAAAAAAAAATACATATTAGAAACACCTTTAGCAATGATTACAGCTGTGAGTCTTCTTCGGTTTCTAAGAGCTTTGCACACCTGGAATGTGCAATATTTGCCAATTATACTGAACAAAACAATAAATGCAACATGCAAAAATGTCAACAATTTTACTGAGTTACAGTTCATATAAGGAAATCAGTCAATTGAAATGAATCAATTAGTCCCTAATCTATGGATTTCACATGACTGGGCAGGGGTCCAGTCATGGGTGGGCCTGGGAGGGCATAGGCCCACCCACTTGGGAGCCAGGCCCACCCACTGGGGAAGCCAGGCCCAGCCAATCAGAATGAGTTTTCTCCAAAAAAGGGCTTTATTACAGACAGAAATACTCCTCAGTTTCATTAGCTTTCCGGTTGGCTAGTCTCAGACAATCCCACAGGTGATGAAGCCAGATGTGGAGGTCCTGGGCTGGCATGGTTCCACGTGGTCTGCAGTTGTGAGGCAGGTTGGACATACTGCCAAATTCTCTAAAACAATGTGGTAGAAAAATGAACATTCAAATCTCTGGCAACAGCTCCTACAGTCAGCATGCCAATTGCACGCTCCCTCAAAACTTGAGACATCTGTGGCATTGTGTTGTGTGACAAAACTGCATATTTTAGAGTGGCCTTTTATTGTTCCCAGCACAAGGTGCACCTGTGTTAATGATCATGCTGTTTAATCAGCTTCTTGATATGCCACACCTGTCAGGTGGATGGATTATCTTGACAAATGAGAAATGCTCATTAACAGGAATGTAAACAAATGTGTGCATTTTTTTTTGAGAGAAATAAGCTTTTTGTGTGTATGGAACATTTCGGGGATCTTTTATTTCAGCTCATGAAATATGGGACCAACACTTTACATGTTGCGTTTATTTTTTTGTTCAGTATATTATTTTCAAAATTCTTCAATCTCTATCAAGGTGTTAGTAGATCATAGCTAGACAGCAATTTTCAAGTCTTGCCATAGATTTTCAAGCAGACTTAACTCAAAACTGTAACTTGGCCACTCAGGAACATTCACTGTCTTCTTGGTAAGCAACTCCAGTATAATTTGGCCTTGTGTTGTTAGGTTATTGTTCTGCTGAAAGGTGAATTCCTCTTCCAGTGTCTTGTGTAAAGCAGACTGAAGCCCCTTTTCCTCTAGTCATTTGCCTGTGCTTAGCTCTATCCCATTTCTTTTTATCCTGAAAAACTCCCCAGTCTTTGCCGATGTGAAGCATACCCATACCATGATGCAGCCACCACCATACTTTAAAATAAGGAGGCAGTTACTCAGTGATGTGTTATGTTGGATTTGCCTCAAACAGAAGGATTGGCATTTTTGCCAAAATGTGTATTCCTACTTCTCAGTATTACTTTTGTGCCGTGTTGCATACAGGATGCAAGTTTTGAAATAATTTGATGCTGTATATTTGTATTATTTTCACTCTGTAATGTAGGTCATTATTATGGAGTCACTATAATGTTGTTGATCCATCCTCAGTTTTCTCCTATCACAGCCATTGAAGTTCCTAGCTTTTTTAAATCACCAATGGCCTCATGGTGACAACCTGCAGCTCAGTTCAGAAGGACGACTGTCTCTAAATGTGTATGTGGGTTAATACATCATCCACAGCATAACTATTAACTTGACCATGCTTAAAGAGATATTCAATGTATGATTTGTTATTGTTACCCATCTACCAATGACTACCCTTCTTTATGAGGCTTACGAAAAGCTCCATGGTCTTTGTAGTTGAATCTGTGCTTGAAATTCAATACTTGTCTGAGGGACCTTACAGATGTTGTATGTATGGGGGACAGAGGAAGGGATAGTAATTTTTTAAAATCATGTCAACCCCTATTGTTTCACACAGTGTGAGTCCATGTAACTTATTATGTGATTTGTTAAGCCAAATGTTACTCCAGAACTAATGTAGGCTTGCCTAAACAAAGGGAGTGAATACTTAACTATATTTCAGTTATTAAAAAAATATTAATTTGTAAAAATTTGTAGAATGTTCTTTTCAATTTGACATTATGGAGTATCTTGTGTAAATCAATGACAGAAAATCAATTAAATATTTTTCAATCCCACTTTGTAACGCAACAAAATGTGACAAAATCCAAGGAGGGATTGATATGATACTGTATTCAACATGCAATATCCCATTTAATGTGAAATGCCCCAAAATTCTAAAACCATATTCTTCATGTAAACTCCTTGCCTTAATGAACATTATTAGGAAATGTGTCAGCCTGTAAATTGTTTTCACTGTTATTGTCCAATGTCGTGTCTGGAGTTTGCAAGAAACCCATTCCATGACCTATGGACAATACAATAAGGTAACAGCTGTCATACTTTGTAATATCATTAAGATCAATATACCCCGGCCCTCAAGTTAGAATATTGCGGAAAATTGCGACATCATAGGGTTGTAATCTACGTCTCTGTGGAAACACATAACCACATAATCTTATTTACCTTCTCTTCGCCATTGTGGTTTACTGGTTTGATTGGTTTGGTTAGTCCTCCTTACAATCCCTTGAGGGCTCTGAACTGTCAACAAACCCTTGTGTTAATGATCTGATGGCCTTCCACAATGCTCTGCTTGTATTTGTGCCACATGGTCCAACAAGGCAGTTTCTGCTGCTGCAACGGTGGAGTTCATCCCCATTGGTGAAGCAATGTCATCGTAATGACACATTTTCCCTGCCCCTACCATTCGTCTTTATAAGACCAAATGACTGAATATTTTGTTCATTACACCTTTATATACAATCATTGATTAACCAAATACAAATATTCAATGGAGAACTCCGGCCAGGATATAAATGTCCCAGACTGTTTCAACCCTTTCCTTACTCTGTTTTTTTATCAGCACACAACCAGACCAAACAGAAGTTACACTATTATTTGTGACAGAGAATGGATGAGTTGTGGTCTGAGCAGTACCAGTCTCTTTGTCTGGCAGTACCATTAGAGCACCAGGAAAATAAAGTTCATGGAAAACGGTTTTGGGCAATATGTCTTGTTTTGGTTTTGTGAGAACGACTATGCACTGAATCAATCACTCTACTTGAGGCTTGATGTTTCAGGACTGTAGGCTAGGATCAGCCGACACAAGGTTGTGTGTGTCCAATATGACATCTGTCAAAACCCCAGAGAGTGAGCCCTTAGGGTCAAGTTTGTAAACAGTTTGGCACCACTGATGATAAGCTATTAGGTTTGCAGGTGGGTACTTTAGTTCAACATGCAACCATTCCTAGGCCTACAGAAAGGTCATGTGGTGTAATAATCAGCTTGACACTTGCTGGCTTGGAGTTTCACATGAGTGTTTCTGAGCAATATGGATTGTGATAATGTTTATGTGGTTCTCTTTGCCATTCATGATTATTATCCTAAATGTAAAAAGCTATAATATAATACTATTAATAGTTTTTATCTCATATTAGCTGTTGCAAATAAATCAATTATTAAGATTAGATTAATGGTGCTGTTTACAGTTAAGTTTGTATGACTGTGTTTTTCTGGTGTACAAATACCTCTGCATAAACATTCGACCTCATTTTGATAATACATGGACACTTTCCATAAGTGTGGAATGTTGGTTTTCCACCTGCCATGAAAAATAATTCCATGCACCAACAAGCAATATCAAATTTAAAAGTAGCATATTAAAGACAAAGCAATCTTTCTGAGTATTAAAGATTTCAACCCTACCCAATTGAAATAATAAGGGGCTACTCTATTTGATACTTGGATCATTGATTCAGTCAAGAAAGCAGTGCATAATAGTGCGCAAAACAACATGTTCTTGAAATAAGTTCAGAAAGCGTCATCTTAAATCCATTTGTCTAAATAACCTACAGTGTAAAGAAATTACAAATCATAAAAAACAATATTATTCTCAAAAGGTTTTATTAGTCTCTTGATATAGGCTACGTATTGCACATGGGTATTGTAAAAAGGAGGCTACATTTGGCTAGAACGCCAGTGCGCACAATTTTACTCCTACTGAAAAGATCAAAACACAGTGAATCTTGCTTTGAAACAAATGTATATGGACATACCTGAGAGGGACTACATATTTTTCCTCTGCCAATCCATTCCTGATATCATCTTACAATGGGACAGAACCTATAGGCCTAAAGATAGGTTGCACAAATGTAGGCTAACCACTGGGCACACACTAGTTGAATCAACGTTGTTTCCACGTCATTTCAATTAAATTACGTTGAACCAACGTGGAATAGACGTTTAATTTATGTCTGTGCCCAGTGGGTATTTCCCGTTAAATAGCTTAGTATTTGTGTATTAGTCCGTTATCCTTGAGAATAAGACCCAATGTAAACAAAACATACATGTCTATAGCCCAATCCAGACAAGTCAAATTATTTCGTTAATTTCCTCAACAGTAGGCTATGGGGTCACATTTGAACTGAAGATGCAACCGATAGAAATGTTGTGATGCCAACAATCCAAATAACGGTGCCAAATGAAGGCACAATTTAAATATTGGAATATTTTTATTATAATTTCCCCAAAGCGTTAATGCGTTATAAGAATATATAGGCCCTACACCGCAGTTTGTATGGTGTCCAAAAATCATGTGCGCTCAGGACTGTGTAGTTCTCCCTGAGGCATCCCCGTGTCCATGGTAATCAGCTCCTCCGGTATGTGAGAGGACCCTTCTGTTATTAAATCCGAATCACGTTGTACATCAGTAAAGGTAACGAGTCCCCACGTACCCTGGGCTTTGTCAGAGGTAGAGTCTGTGCGCAAAGCCTGTTGGTCTGCGTTTGGAGCCGCCGAGGCTTTCGCGAGCGTCACTCTCGTTCCAGAAGAATCCATAGCTTGGCTCTCTTGGATAGAATCCAGCCCAGATCCTTCCAGCGATTCCTGTTGTACTCCAACAGCAGGAGTGCCCGTGCCAAACGTCCACCACGTCTCTTCCTGGTCCCTGGTTGCGTGCGTGGGCAAGTTCGCTGGATCTACTCCAGTGACACTTAGAGACGCGTCTCTGACTTCTGTCTGAGTGGCCAATTTGTTCTGTGTGGCTGCGTAGCTTTTCGCGGTGACGAAGTGTTCTATTGTTGGTCCTTCAACCGCTGTTTTGGGCGTATTGTCGTCTGAGGGGACCATGAGACTTTTACTACTACTATCCAACCACTGAAATGCATCGGTCCCGGCGGTATCTGTTTCTATTGTAATTGGTGATGCCATGGACCTTGACTCGTCGCGTGTAAAAGTGTCCGTATTCTGCGTACCTGTGTGTACGGTATAATTTGGCACACTGGTGGTAATGTTCGTAGTATTTGCCGCGACGGTGGTCACAGCATTGGGTCTCGAAAATGACGATGATGAGGAGGAGGCAGACGTCGGGTTCCATATTATGCTGTAATATATGGCCAATATGATAGCCGCCAGAGACACAGACAACACGTATGCGAAAACAGTGGCCAGTCTCACCCACTTTTTGTTGGTCTTCGCAGCCATTTTTGCCTTTTTGTCCCCAGTGTATGTGGCGGGTTTCCCCCGTTCTACGTTGGGCATGAAGTCCCTGTTCCTCATATTCGCCCTCCTCCCTCTGTGCTCCGCCACGCCGTCCGTCTTGAATGATTAGATGGTATACACGGTGCAATAGAATATGCTTAGCCCATTGGATCCTTTACGCACACAATGTGTTCTTCACCGACGGATCACTTCGTAACCAAACAGATTTCTCTCGCGCTCATCTTGGTTAGAACACCGGGCTAACGGCATAACACGATTGCATCATTCCGTTATTTACGAGGCATTTCCTGGGAAGATAATGAGATGGTGCGCTATAATCTCCGTGGTCCACGCGCTTTCCGATATACTCACCGCAATTGTTTAGCCGGCCAGCGAAAGCTCTAATAGGCCTTTATAGATTGGCTCTGCGGTCCGGGCAGCAAGGAGGTGATTTATTACATGAGGTAATGTAGCACACAAGGGCGCATTCTCTCTTGTCCAGCCAATGAAGTGGATGGTCTGGTCTCAAAACATGGTCGGGAGGCGGGTCCTGGAGCGATGCAAGCTAATACCCTGCACTGATTAATTTCACTGTCCTCAAATGCCATGATTTGAAGTATTATTTATATTCGTCATGAATAAAGACTCCACTGTTTTTCTCTCTCGTTGCAGTAGCCTATAATTATTTCAATCTGCATAAGGCTAGATGAATGCAAATTGTGGTCTTTCTTTTTTTGCTTACATTAAAAAAAAAAAAAAAAATCTAAACCTACCATAATGGTTTACGACCACATGCAACACATATCGCCTATAGACCCCTATCCCACGGGAAAAACACGTCATCAATTCAGTACACGACTAGTTGCAGCATACACACAATTAATTAATTTCCCAGGACCCATTTTGATTACTTTTTTGTTTTTGTTCAGTCATCATCTAATATTTGAATTACAGTCCTTCTGTTCTTGATGCGCCATCACTGAGGTTGGCCTTGTACAAAAAATCGATTCAGCACCATGGACAGCTTCGTGTAATAAACCATTGGGACAAACAGAGTGTGTTGGCAATTGTGAAAGAATACAGGACTGCCATCTTACTTAAATATTTTAAACTCCAAGGGTCTTGAATCTCCATGGCTATCGAAGGCTAATTACATTTAATTTGAAGGATGGAGGAATTGCTTAAATTATTTTACCAGGCAAGTCAGTTAAGAACAAATTCTTATTTACAATGACCCTCCCCTAACCCGGACAACGCTGAGCCAATTGTTCGCCACCCTATGGGACTCCTGAACACGGCGGTTGTAATACAGGCCGGGATCGAACCCAGGTCGGTAGTGACGCCTCTAGCACTGCCTTAGACCGCTGCGCCACTCAAGGAACCCAAAATGATGCCCTTGTAGCATTGTGCCTATCAAAGGAGGTTGGTGGCACCTTAATTGGGGAGGACGGGCTTGTGTGTAATGGCTGAAGCAGAATAAGTGGAATGGTATCAAACACGATTTCGATGTGGATGTGAATCCATTCAATTTGCTGTTCCAGCAATTATTATGAGCCGTCCTCTCCTCAGCAGCCTCCACTGGTTCCTATAGCCATGTAGCCTAATTCTTAGTTATAGGCCTACCTCTTTAATTGAGGAAGACTTTTAGTCTTACCATTTATTTGTACCCTTATATTTAGAAGTTATTGAGACTTTTAGCTTCGCCTATATGAGACCTACCTATGCTTTTAACCTCCAAATAAATGCTCAGATCAGACGCTAAGATTTCCGTGTAGGCCTAAATTTAAGCCATATTGTCAATGCGAAAAAAAGAGTTTAAACTTAGAATGAACGAGTTGCTCAAAAATAAATTGTGCTTTTACGGCCTTTTTTTTTTACATGAAACAATTCACGTCTTCATTCTTCACGGTCACACACCGGCTTCGGCTGTGTCTCAATGGCAGCGCACGAATCACTCAACGCCATGACGTAACCTATATTCCCAAGCAACCAGACACATCTCTTTCTGCTCGGTGGCCCGCCTAGAACTGTCAAGGGAGTCCTCTGTAGCTCAGCTGGTAGAGCACGGCGCTTGTAACGCCAGGGTAGTGAGTTCGATCCCCGGGACCACCCATACACAAAAATGTATGCACACATGACTGTAAGTTGCTTTGGATAAAAGCGTCTGCTAAATGGCATATTATTATTATTATTATCTATTTCTGTTCCGTGGCCCGCCTAGAACTGTCAAGGGAGGGGATATCAGCTAGCTGCTCGTGTTGTTGTTCTGGGATTCCAACAACTGGCACAGCCAGGACGATGTGTATTTACTTAATGTGTTGGGTCCAGTCCAGACCTCCGTCAGAACTCAATCAGCAGGGCAAAGCTGATTGCACTTTGATCTAAATTGGATTTGGTGATCAATCATTGATGCTTTTATCTTTTCAAGGTCATTATGGAGCATTTATAATCCTTTTCTGGTAAGGTATAGGCTTGAATAAGGGGCCTTCCAAATAAAAGATAACCTGATAATAACTGATAAATCCACTCATTGATAAGCATTTCGCTGCACCCCCTACATCTGCTAAACTGTGTACGCGACCAATAAACGTTGATTTGATTCTCTAGCTGAAAAAAAAGTAATTGCTTGAGAAGGAAAAAACAAGGGTTTCCTGAATGTTACATAAGATGAGAATTGCAATTTAGGGCAAGGCTACAAGATAAAGCAAATTTATTTGTGCTGATGAGGATCTTCCTGCTTGCCTGCCAGATGAGTTGTTTGTGTGTGTGTGTGTGTGTGTGTGTGTGTGTGTGTGTGTGTGTGTGTGTATGAGTGCGTGCGTGCTGAGATCTGTGCAGTGCATTCGGAAAATAGTCAAACCCCTTGCCTTTTCCCACATTTTGTTATGTTACAGCCTTATTCTAAAATGGATTAATTAAAAACATTTTCCTCATCAATCTATACACAATACCCCACAATTACAAATAAAACAGTTTTTTTTTTTTTACAGTTTTACACATTTATAAAAAATAAAAAAACGGAAATACCTAATTTACATAAGTATTCAGTCCCTTTGCTATGAGACTTGAAATTGAGCTCAGGTGCATCCTGTCCCATTGATCATCCTTGAGATGTTTCTACAACTTGATTGGAGTCCACCTGTGGTAAATTCAATTGATTGGACATGATTTGGAAAGGCACACACCTGTCTATATAAGGTCCCACAGTTGACAGTGCATGAGGTCGAAGGAATTGTCGGTCGAGTGCCGAGACAGGATTATGTCGAGGCACAGATCTGGGGAAAGTTACCAAAACATTTCTGCAGCATTGAAGGTCCCCAAGAACACAGTGACCTCCATCATTCTTAAATGGAAGAAGTTTGGAAACACCAAGACTCTTCCTAGAGCTGGCCGCCCGGCCAAACTGAGCAATCGGGGGAGAAGGGCCTTGGTCAGGGAGGTGACCAAGAACCCGATGGTCACTCTGACAGAGCTCCAGAGTTCCTCTGTGGAGATGGGAGAACCTTCTAGAAGGACAACCATCTCTGCAGCACTCCACCAATCAGGACTTTATGGTAGAGTGGCCAGACGGAAGCCACTCCTCAGCCTGCTTGGAGTTTGCCAAAAGGCACCTAAAGGATTCTCAGACCATGAGAAACAAGATTCTCTGGTCTGATGAAACCAAGATTGAACTCTGGCACCATCCCCATGGTGAAACCTGGCACCATCCCTATGGTGAAGCATGGTGGTGGCAGCATCATGCTGTGGGGATGTTTTTCAGCAGCAGGGACTGTACAGAGAGAGATCCTTGATGAAAACCTGCTCCAGAGACTGGGGCGAAGGTTCACCTTCCAACAGGACACCGACCCTAAGCACACAGCCAAGACAACGCAGGAGTAGCTTCGGGACAAGTCTCTGAATGTCCTTGAGTGGCCCAGCCAGAGCCCAGACTTGAACCCGGTCAAACATCTCTGGAGAGACCTGAATATAGCTGTGCAGTGACGCTCCCCATCCAACCTGACAGAGCTTGAGAGGATCTGCAGAGAAGAATGGGAGAAACTGCCCAAATACAGGTGTTTCAAGCTTGTAGCATCATACCCAAGAAGACTTGAGGCTGTAATTGCTGCCAAAGGTGCTTCAATAAAGTACTGAGTAAAGGGTCTGAATACTTATATAAATGTGATATATCAGTTTTGTAACTTTAATACATTTGCAAACATAAAAAAAAAAAAACGGTATTTGCTTTGTCATTATGGAAAACTATTTAGTCAATTTTGTGTGTATATTGATGAGGGGGGAAAAAAACGATTTAATCAATTTTAGAATAAGGCTGTAACTTAAGAAAATGTGGGAAAGTCATGGGGTCTGAATACTTTCCGAATGCGCTATATGTCTTAAAGTGGCACTCCAGTCTCCTTTTCACCTCATTTAACAATATAGCAGAACCAGTTCAGAAAGGAAACCAGAGTGCCCCGCCTCAGCTGAGATGGTACCAATTAGAGGCAAGTATCAATCACACCTACCTTATTTGAGCTTGAGGTTGGCTTAACAACCTATGCCAATGTATACAAATTGAAATACATAAATATCTCATTTACATAAGTATTCACACCCCTGAGTCAAAACATGTTAGAATCACCTTTGGCAGCGATACAGCTGTGAGTCTTTCT